AAGAAACGGAGGTGGAGGTGGTTTATATGTTGCCGTTATCATTCGTGTGGTTTGAGGACCAAATCTAGCAGCAATATTATCCCACTTCAACCAAATCTAAACCTTTCAGCGTCAGTGAATTGATGCAACATTCGTCTAGAAGGTACATGTGATGCTCTGCAAATAAGGGTTGAGCCATGTGCGCATTCAATCACAGCTACGATTCTAGTTAAAGGCCGGATACATGGGCATTCGTCTAGAAGGTACATGTGATGCTCTGCAAATAAGGGTTGAGCCATGTGCGCATTCAATCACAGCTACGATTCTAGTTAAAGGCCGGGTACATGGGCGTACCTCGAAAATGGGGTTTGTCGACGTTGTTAACTTCATGCATTGATCATCTATCTTTATTTCGGTTTATATGCCCATATAATGATTTGCGGTGTCTAGCGATGTTTAAGTCAGTGCTTTTATCCTCCCAGGCGAGCCTGGTACCTATTAAGGCACCCCGGAGGTATGGAAGGCTTGGTTGGCCCAAGCGGATATCGATTCGGACTCCATCACGTTACCATGTGGGGGTGGTTGTGCGCGACTTGCCACTGCACCACCTCCGCCTATCCTTTACGTCCTTATTCCTCTTTAGGCAGCGGTTTATATTACTTTAACTAAAAAAAAGTGCAAACTCACGAGTCATTGATCGACTTTCCAACAGGCTTTTGCGATCGGAATGGTTGCCGTTGGCGGTGTCGTGAGCCATGAATGCGTTGCCGCTTCTTTTTACGTTCAAGCTTTGATTTGAAGAGGTAACAGAAAAATACACAGATGAATAGAAATGTTCCACCACAGAACACACCCGCTATGACAATCGTCTTGTCGGTGCTGCTCTCCTTTCGTGCACCTAAACGGGTCGCTACAGTCTATCTGGGAGCGTCAAATGGAGATGGTGGTTATAACCACCTACGTGTGAATAAACTCAGAAACCTCTTAAATGACAAGAGTTGCTAGGCTTCACACTTCAAAAAAAACCACAGTATTAATCAACAATCAAATCAGCATCGTGAGAACACTTACTACTATCAATCAATAGCCATGTAATGCACTGCACACAAACATCGGGATCAAATCGGATTCCACACAGCTATTAGAAGAAGCGGTGGGATGTTCAGTAGATGAGACATCAGGACGGTTGTTGTCGAGCTGATAAACAACATCGACAATGAGCCAAATCTGGATGACGATTGCACTCGTGCACCTCAAAACACATGCAGGAATCAGCGACATCATCGTTTTTGTAAACACTACCTTGTGACGTGGCTACTAGTAGGGGATTAGGGATGATAAAACATCAAATTGTGGGGCAAAAACACACTCAATGCCTCTCTAATCACTCAATGCTATGCAAGGCTTCATGCATATTTAGCCTGTTAAACTAATAAGCCAAACACTATATCTCGAATTATCATTAGTTATCTATGTTAATTATATATGGGTGAGGAGCATCCGGCAACTGGCATTTTATGAATCTTATCGTTGCGTCGTCTTGCAAAATGCACCAAATGGACGAGTTTGCACACAAAAGGCGGGGATTCAGCATGCATATTCAGTCATACTGGGCGTGCGGGGTATGTGTACGAACGTGCGTCNGTAACTATTTGAACGACTTTAGCGCCTACCATTGGGGCCCAAATTTGAAATAGAGTGGATTAGGAGGATCACTGACTCTACTAAACTACACTACTTCGAGTGTGTTCCCCAAAAATTGGCTCCGCAGACGTACAAATCGTCACGCCGCGCAACTTGCCGCGCGCACCCTCTGACGCACGTTCGTACCATCCCCCTGGGCGTGGGTACATACGTGCGTCCGAGGAAGCGGCGAAATACGTGACGATCGAACGACCTGGCGCCTATTATTGGAGCACAAACTTAAAGTAGAGTAGTTTAGAAGTGTCAGCCGATCCTTCTGACTAATCTACTCCAAAATTGAACCCCAATGATAGGCGCTAAAGTCGTTCAAATCGCCTCGGATTTGGCCGCCCCATTCGCCGCGAGTGTCCTCGGACGCACGCGAGTTCCGTCCCCCAGTCGCACTGGAATTCTGTAAAATACTAATTGCCGAGATGATTCGTACACATATGGGGTAAAATGTGCAGCATTATTGTACGACTCTCAGATTTTCGAAGTTGTGAGAGCTTGGTTAGTATGTGGGTTGGGAAGTGTGTGGATATGTGGTTACTTGTTCCCTAATGCAGATGGCAGAGCTGGTCTTATTCTTTCCCCTGTGAACAACAAAAAACAAGAGAAACTGACAGCAGACTGTACAAGTCTTAGAAAAACGGTTTCCAGAGCTGGTGAACACAAAATTCCGAAAATCTGATGACGACATTATAATTGTGTCATACATAGGGTACTGTAGTACTTTACTAACACGACCCTGAACCACGAGACACTTTTCGGGTAAGTGATCGCCTAGGGAGAAACCGTTGCGGTGCTGAAACCATATGTCTGTTGATAGTAAAGATCTTGAACAGTTTTTTGAACGAGAGGTAGTGGAGAACTACTTGACCAGTTGTCTACTAATCGAACTTCCGCGTAGTACCCACCATTCCTAGATAGTATTTCAGTTTATGCAAAAATTTGACGCTGAAATACCATCAGCAGTTGGTTGCCGCACCATAATCGGTAGTATGGATGTTAGGGAATACAAAGTAATTATGCTCCAATCAATACTCATATAACACCTATGTATGGTAGCGAATGACTCTACATTACCTTATTAGTAACATTTGCAACTATTAGGTAAGCTGCAGAGTTTTAAAAAATCGAACAAAAATTCAAAAAAAAAACCGGTGTCGGCGGCCCTTTTTCGAAAATCCGCTGAACGAAACGGGTGGGCTCAATTACGCCAACTATTTTTCTCATTTCATAGCTATGCCACAGCAAACGAGTACACACGAAAGCCAGCCGCTTCGCGACCGCGCGTTTAGGTTTCAAATGAATCGCACAAGCGGTGAACAACTGGAATGCTCGTAAAATCGCTGTAGAAACAGCTGAACTACGACATCAAACAACACTTAGGACGCAATGGTCTTCCCGAATTCAACCACTTTCTCCTACACCTACAATGTGTTTCATCTGTATCGTCCTGATGTCCACAATTTGCGTCACCATTGCATCGTAACATCGAACTGATACATAGTTTTGAATAAGTACACATATATTCAGAAGATGACGAACATTCGCTCATCTCTGAAACGAGAACCGATCAAATCGCATTTTAGTGGAGCATGGCTTCTCAACCTTACCATTTACTTCCCGAACTTCCGTCCAACTCATATTGAAGCCTTTAAGTCCGTTCACTTTGTCGGGACTGGTGAGGAAGCTGAAATTTACAACTTTGTTACTTTTTTTAACTTTTAAAATTTAACTTTTTGAAAATTCTACTACATTTATAACTGAATATTAGCATTTGTACAACGAGAAGGAAGTTGATCACTCGAAACGGGACCGGAGAGGAGATGGTTCTCAATCTCCTTTCGCCTTTGGGAGGCTAACGTTTACCAGTTTTCCACAACTTCGCCTCTCATCCCATTTGCTCACTTTATTTCAATACTTTTGCAGGTATAAGATCAATTCAGTGATGCTATCATCTCAATTGAGGATATTTTCCTTATTATTTAGACCCTTCGGAGTATGTGTACTTCTTTCATTTGACCCAGCTTCGTTTACAGGAGCCAATCCTGCCACAATCTAAAATTAGATGTTGGATCTTAGTTGAGTCTTCATCTGCATCTATCCCCTTCCACATTCGCATTCCTACATCGAACCAAAATAATATGGGAACTAATGTTAGTATGGGTTCTCATGCTAGTCTCCTGCGCAGTATCGAATTTAAGGGAAGGGTACAGGATCGTTCTGAACAGCGATTCAATGGATCTCAGAAGAAGTCTATATTTAGGCAGTTTCATACCCATTTATGTATCTTCGGTGCTAGGAACCAGGGCGCTCGGGATTAGTAAGCTGCGTACGGTACGTCCGATTATTGGAACATTTTCCGGTTTCAAGGAGAGTTTAATAGCAGCGCAGAGTTTTGTCCTGCATTCACAGTAAGCTTTCCAAGACATATTCCGCATACGTCAAGATGGTATGAACTAGGAAAGGGTCCTTCACAACGGTTTTTCGCTTTCGTATTTTTGCATTTTCTGAAGTCAGCGAATTTCCTACAAAGTAGCAGGAAATAATGGGTTTATGTACCTTATTCGAACAGAGCTATTTTTGGTGACAAATGGTGTGAACACTCCTTGATCCGTACCACAGTATTCTGGTCGTGGCGCTCCGGATACGCGAATAACCGCCTAAATAGGATATGAACCGTTCAAAGAAGAGAATAAGTTCGGTATGATAGAAATCGGTAACGTTCAAAGAAAAGTTAAAGCACAGCTCACGATAAAAATGTTTTCTAAGATTCTCCACAGGATGAATCTGAGGTCTCCCTAGTATACCGTATCTGGCGCTACTAGGACGCAAAAGAGCCCAGTTAAAGGCACAGTTCAGGACAATTTTGGGGGTATCCGGTATTTTAGAGATAGTGGTAGGTAAGGCCTACACTAGGACAATGGTAAAGCATAAAAGGCTAAAAACAGTGAAAAAAAGGAAAACAAACGGCCGAAAAAAAAGAGGAAAAAGTGGTTGGACGAAATTCATAATGGGAAAACGGTGGTTAAGTGAATTTTCGCGGAAGTACATGAATGCGACGCCATGTGTGCAATGGCACACAAAACACCCAAACAGCTAATTTAGACTAGATTCTTGAAACTATTTATTCCCCAACTGATATTTCGCTGAACTTTTATGTTTATTCAGTTGTTCTGCACAGAAAGGTGAGTAAATTCCCTTATATTTATAATTTTACGATTAAATGTACCTAAGTTTCCATATAGTACGTTGTTTTATAAAATGCATGCCAGGATTTAATTTTTTTTATTTGCAACGCATTTTCTTCATTTGGGGTCATTTAT